GGCGCAGCCGCGGGAAATTTGACGATTACTTCTTGCTGAATATTATTGCCAGGTTGCCATTCCATATACTTTGTCTTGTTTTAACAAGGTGTTTGCCGGGGAAGGGGAGAATCGTTAAGCCACATTTTTTTTTTTTAAATATGCATTGTGCGAAAATTTCAAAAGTTCGTGACATTTTAAGAAAAAAGAGTTTCTTTCTTCATCTTTCTTCGCTCTTCCTCTCTCCTAATTAATATATTTTGCAGACGTGCTTGTGCAATCCTTTGTTGTCCTTTCCTGCATTGTGTACAAATGTCATGCACATAACCACACTCGTCATAGCTGTTAATGGCAATATTCACCTTATGAAGTTTTTGTATCAACGACACAGCATAGATCTATCTATCTATCTATCTATCTATCTATCTATCTATCTATCTATCTATCTATCTATCTATCTATCTATCTATCTATCTATCTATCTATCTATCTATCTATCTATCTATCTATCTATCTATCTATCTATCTATCTATCTATCTATCTATCTATCTATCTATCTATCTATCTATCTATCTATCTATCTATCTATCTATCTATCTATCTATCTATCTATCTATCTGTCTGTCTGTCTGTCTGTCTGTCTGTCTGTCTGTCTGTCTGTCTGTCTGTCTATCTATCTATCTATCTATCTCTATCTATGTATCTATCTATCTATCTATCTATCTATCTATCTATCTATCTATCTATCTATCTATCTGCTATCTATCTATCTATTATGCTATCTATCTATCTATCTGTCTGTCCTGTCTGTCTGTGTCTGTCTGTCTGTCTGTCTGTCTGTCTGTCTGTCTGTCTGTCTGTCTGTCTGCTGCCTGCCTGCCTGCCTGCCTGCCGCCGGCCGGCCGGTCCGGCCGGCCCGCCCGCCCGCCCGTCCGCCCGCCGGTCGGTCGGTCGGTCGGTCGGTCGGTCGGTCGGCCGGCCGGCCGGCCTGTCTACCTGCCTGCCCGCCCGCCCGTCTGGCTGTCGGTCCGTCCGTCCGTATGTTTCTTGATACGTCGGTCTGTCCAATACCTTCTCCAGATTTAAAGTAGGTCATGGTCTGTTTGTCCTACTCCCTATCTAACTATATCTGTCACTCTACCAGTCTGTCCCCTTGTGTGTCTTTCCTGCCTACCTGATTGTCCATATTTCTTCCGGTATGTCTGTCTTTGTGTCTGTCCGTCGTTTGTCTATCTGTTGTCCAACTTCTACCTACCTGTCTGTGTCTCCCACGTGTACTCAGTACTTCAGTCAGTTTCATGTTTGTAGTTTGTATATTTGCTTCTGTCTGTGTCTCCCACGTGTACTCAGTACTTCAGTCAGTTTCATGTTTGTAGTTTGTATATTTGCTCCTGTCTGTGTCTCCCACGTGTACTCAGTACTTCAGTCAGTTTCATGTTTGTAGTTTGTATATTTGCTTCTGTCGGTGCTGCTGTATCTTTGATGGAAGCAGTGGTACATTCATTTTTTCATTTTTATTCCCCCATCTCGGGGAATCCGAGTGCCGGGGGAAAGCAATATTGTAAAAAGGGGGGGGGGGGTGGGGTGTTTGATTATAGTTAGTATGTGCTACTTTCACACCGTATTATCCCTTTAACATTGGACTCCCCCACCCCATGGAACTTTCGGATTCCCCGAGATGGAGTGAACAAAAAATAAAGAACCGAAGCAGTATGCGGGTGGTTCTACTTTTCCCTTGATTTGATATCGTATTTTCATAACGCTGTCGCATAGTTATTTGGTAAGTCGACAGATTATCCTCATTGCACTCCGAGCCATTCAGTCCACAAGTTCTCGGATCCCCTCCTCAGGAAATCCCTCAGTAGCGTGTAGCGTGTATTCTTCTTTGGCTTCCTGTATAGCACTCTTGTCTGGACACACCACTCTTAACATCTGTTTCTTGCAGTCTGGTCACCGGTGCAAACTCACAGTCATCACTTGGTTCTCGCTAACGACTTACTTCTCGTAGAGCATTCTGTCGCATACTGGAATTCATTTACGGTGTCTCTTGTTGGCAGACAGCTGTTTTAGATTTTCCGTGGTTTGATCTGGTTATCAGATCCGCGGTTGTAACTCAATCTGTGACACCGGATAGATGCCATCAACTGAGCGCTCTTCCAGAACGTTCTGTTTATGTCTTGTGTGCGCGCCAAGTCGGTGGCCACAGAGCATGGCACGGTGTCTGATCACTGCGGACGCGGACCATATGCAAATGTGCTGGTATGGACGATCTGATCGCTGGTTATACCTTGTCAGCAAGCAGATTTTTTCCCGACTTCTGTTTCTTTTATTTTTATAGTCTTTCTTTCTAACTCTTACTTTCGTTTATGTACTCCCCCACCCCCCTTCCTTTTCTCCCTGTTTCTTGCTCTTCACCGCTGCATGCCTCTCGCTCTGCGCCCTCCCCAGTGTTGCCACTTTTCTTTGACAAAAAATATCCAAAACGGTGTCAAAAATATCTAAAAAGATCTGAATCTCCGTGGAAAAGATCTAGAAAAAACATCCAAATTGAAAAAGTCAAAAATTACATAGCTTTTATTAAGACTTACCCTACATAATCATGTCCTCACCCTCACTAATGTCTGCCTCACAAGATCCACAGGATAAACTTGACCTGAATAATGAAGTTGAAGCTTCAGATCCAAAATGACCCTGGTATGCTTTAGCTGTTCAAATTTCTTTATAAGTGGAACAGTAGGCTTATTTCTCTAGTCTCATCAGGCTGAATTTTAATGGCACGATAGCATTTAAGAGGTCAAATTTCATCCTGTTTTTTTAGGTTAGATTTGATATAATTCCTAGCACTGAAAACTCTTTCTACGTCAGCATTTGAGTGATAGTATCATGGCAGACATGACACTTTAAAGAGCTAACAGAGTGGACTGTTTGATGAGGCATCTTTAAATTGTCTCACTTTACTCCAAAACGCTTTAGTTTCTGTTTTGTTTGTTTCATCACTGTACATTCCATATAGTATTTCAGCTGTGTAGCACTTTTCACTTTGTCTTGTTATTTCAAAGTGTGTCTTCAACTTCAGCCATTGCTCTTCATAATTCTTTCAACAGCTGGTTAAATTGATAACCATCTAGTTTTGCAATCTGACAGAATTTTCGGTGGTGTGGAACCATCATTCAAGGCTGTATATAATGTATTGTATTGCTGTTGTCTGACAAATGATTTGGAAAACTAGTAAAGTGTTTCAGCAATAAGGTATTCCAAATTCCTTGGTAAATATTTAGATGAAGCATGTGATAATGCTAGCTGCAATGAATGACGCATACATTTTATAAGTAATAACGATGGGTTAGCTTCCTTCAACTTGGCATAAACGCCATTGTTTATACCAACCATCACTGAGGCATTATCCGTACCAATTAAAGCCAAATTCTTCAAGCCTAACTGTTTGCTGATTAAAAGGTCCTTCAGTTCCTAAACTATACTTTCTACATCACACTTTTCAAATCAAACTAGTCCAAGATTTTTTACAAATCGATCAAATGGTCACAGTTTGAAATTGCGCAGTGACAAATTAAAAACATTGCGACTGATACTTCAACTTTTGATGATTCATTTATCAGTATAGTTATGAAAACAGATGTCAGCGGTGTAATATCTTTAAATGAAACTGCAGTTTTATGCTCTGCATGACTCTTTTGAATTTTGTATTTTCGCTTCAATTTCACACTTGCAGTACTTACAACAAGCTTTGGTCATATCAAAATTTTTTTAATTTTGTCATCATGCAACCACTATTTCCAAATTTTTTGCTCATACTTTACTTTTGGCATGTTAAAAAGTTTTTTCAAAGTGAAAGCCACATAAGAAGGTGAGCAATTATTTTTTTTTTAAATCACAAGAAAAAGAAACGCAAAGTCAGCACAGTGAGGATACGGTTGAAACAAAGTTAGTATGATTTACGCGCGTTTTTATTGATCAGTACCGGGACTGCCAGATATTTGTGCCTTGACACCAGTGAGAGTTCAAAATTCAAATAATGGCAGTTGTCACAATGTACGTGCCAGACCAAAACAAAAATATTGTAGTAAATATTTTACACAGTAATTATTAAATTGACAATGAAAAAAAAAAAAATCTATAACATATCTAACTCCATATGAAAAATATCTAGAAAAATATTTACGATCTAAACGTCAAAAACAGTATCTAAATGCAATGAAAAAGATCTAAATTTGGATATAAAAGATCCAAAGTGGCAACACTGGCCCTCCCCCTCTCACACACATTTTCTCACGTACGTCCATTGTTTCGTTCATTTCGTCTTATTTTGTTGCAGCCTTTCGTGGTCTTATTTATTTTTTATTCATATTTTCACCATCTCTCGCTTGCTTGTTCAGGCTTAGACTCTCTTTCTCTCTCTCTCTCTCTCTCTCTCTCTCTCTCTCTCTCTCTCTCTCTCTCTCTCTCTCTCTCTCTCTCTCTCTCGCATAATTAGGCGTTCTTTCTTCTTTATCCTTTCTCTTAAATCTCTTTTATAATTATATCTTTATTGTTGTTGTTGTTAACCACAACAATAGAACACATCGTGCTGTTTTAAGTTTCCCTGAGATTTAAAGACTGACATTTCAAATTATATTCTCCATCTTTTTACTCATAGTCCCGACAGTGCGACAGTAATACAGAACACACAGTAATACAGCTATTTCAATCGGCCTCAAAATGGGACTTATTTTGTGTGTGTGTGTTATTTAAAAGCACAATCCGGCTGTCGTCAAGGGCCCTAGCTATAACCTAACGGTTTCCTTGGACTTGCGCTCAAGCCATTCTCATCCGTATAGTTGCACTTTGTGTCACCTGGTGTTTATCGCTCGTCTTGCGGTAATGGTGGGGATGAAAATCAGTCAGTCAGTCAGTCAGTCATACTTTTAAGTAAATCATAAAATAAAACAGATAATAAATTTTTATTTTTTTACGTTAATTTTTGCTTATTTGATGTAATTTTTTTTTCTCTTGTTTATTTCAGCGGGTGGTGTAGGTAAAAGTGCACTTACCATACAACTCATTCAGAATCAGTGAGTGTAACTTTCTGTATTGCCTTGTATGTTTCTGTTCATCTGTTAAAAAGTGACTTAGCCCACTCTTCATCCAGTGAGATTAAGTTGTTTGTGAACACGAAATATCACATTCCAAGACCAGTTTATCCTACAGGGTTTTAAAGCTTGGAGTACAACTAACAGAGATGAAGCTTCATTTGCTTACTTTTGAGAACATTCTTATGGTAAATTGTTTGATCTATCAAACATGCAAACAGTAGAGAATGCGAAGTGAGAAACATAACAAACAATTATAATTTATTGAATGAAGGCAGGTGTAGGACAGTTATAAAACAGAGGAAGACAATTATATAATAGGGTCGAACTGTTAAATAACAGGGGAAGATAAGTATATGAAAGGGGAAGACAAATGTATAACAGGGGAAGATAATTATATAACAGGGAAAGACAATTATAGGGAACGACAATTATATAATAGGGAAAGACAATTATATAACAGGGACAAAATGTTATATATTAGGTATGAAAAGAGGGTAGACAAATATATAACAGGAAGAGAATTATATAACGGGGAAGACAGTTCTGTAGCAGGAGAAGACAGTTAAATAACAAGGTAAGACAATTATGTAACTCAAGGGTTCTGAATGCCAAAGAAACAGAGAAAGCCAGGCACAGAGATGAATGAAGGCAGGTGAAATCTGCAGTAGTTAACTTAAGGGTTCAGAATGTTAAAGAAAAAGGGGTTGATTTTTGTTTAGTTAAATTAATGTTTGTGTCGTTTGCACAATTATCTTAATTTTGTCTTCCATCCCTTAAGGACATATTGGTAGTGTTAACTGTTGCTGTTTTATTTTGTGATGGTTGGATATTCCTTTTCAGTTAATAAATTTATAGTTTTACAGTTATAGACTAAAATATATATATATTTTTTTTAATTTTACACTATTTGACATAAGTTTATTAGTTTTAGGATAATTGACTGACATTGATTAGTATTTCACTTTACAGTAATGTTTGAATGACAGTTATTAGGTATTTGTTTGTTAGCATTTCCTTTGGTATTTTGTCTTTGATTCATTTCTTGGCTGCATAATTTGAACCATGATTGCTCAAGACAGTTGTTTCATTAACAGAGGTCAAAACAAATGAGAAGCAGAACTAGTCAGCTTTACAATACTATAATTACAAACAGAATGAATGTTACGGCTAGAAATTGTTCATCAGTGTATGTCATAAACAAACAGCATTACACAAATTCACTAATCCGTTGCAGAATCTCCATATTGAACTTCAAAGCTGACACATCTGTGTGTGTAATGTTGAAGTTTATGGGTCTGAATCTGGTTGGCATGCTACATGATGAGTAAACTTTTGCAAACTCTTGTCAACAGTCGGTTCAATTTCATTTCTTTGTCTTTCTGTTTCAGCTTTGTTGAAGAATATGATCCAACAATTGGTAAGTTTTTGGCTGTACATTCCAAGCATAACATTGGTTAACTTTTTCAGCTCCAGAGACACAGAAGAAATAGCAGTCTTCTTCTTCTTCTTCAGCGATCTCTGGTCATGCGCATAATCCACTGTGGGTCATAAACTGGGATGTCTTTTCAAGGTCTCTTAGGTTTTCCCAAAGCTTAGTTGTCAGTTCTACTGGGTGTTGCCATATGTCGCTCCTCAGCTCCGCCAGGAGAGGACAGTCTTGCAGGACATGTTCTGGAGTCTGTTCAGCACGAAGACACTGGCAGAGAGCTGTTTGGCTCATACCTAATTTATATGAGTGTTTATTGAGTCTGCAGTGTCCAGTGCGTAAGCGAAAAACTGTGACTTGGTCTGTTCTGTTCAAGTGCCTCAGAAAATCTTTTCCGTAGTCATAACCAGTGTTGTTGTTTTTTCCAGTCTGTTTCTGATTTTTCTCTTAATGAGAGTTTTGACTTCTGGAAAAGATAGTGGCTGGTAGGTCTGTAGTTTTGTTACTGCCTTCCTTGGCTAAAGCATCTGCGCTTTCATTGCCTTTGATGCCGCAATGAGACGGAATCCACTGCAAGTGAATTTCTGCCTTATTTGACAACATAGCAAGTTCCTGTGTTATACTTTGTAGTGTGCTGTCGGTAGGTTTGGACTCAAGGGCCTGTACAGCTGACAGTGAGTCAGTGAGAAAAACTATCCTGCCTGCGGTGATTTGCAGATTGTTCATATACTGTGCTGCCATCAATAGAGCTGAGAGTTCTGCCTTGTAGTTAGAGCAAGTTCGTCCGGTGGGGGCTGCTAGGGACACAGTAGTGGCATCTGGGTGTTTTATGTAGACACCTGCCCCACCGTTCGTAGTTGCCTCTTTTGCTGATCCATCCTTGTAGATTCTTGTCCAGCTGTCCTGTGGGAACATGTTGTTGAGGTGTTCCATTGTGAGTGCTTTCTTCACTAAAGCGGGCTCAGCATCTTTGTTTCCCAGGTTCGGGATGGATGTTGACACATTGAGTGTCAATAATTCGGAGTCCCAGAGATCGAAAGATAGCTCTTCAGGTGTACATTGTTGGTTAAGTAGTGAAGAGAATGACTTTCCAAATTCCTTCGTTAGATGGTTTAGGCTTGTGCGCTTTATTCTGTTTTTTGTCCTGGCTGCCAATTTTTCGTGTAATGGGTGGTTTAACATTCTCTTCATTTTTTCAGCATGTAGAATTGCTTTTGTCCTTCTTCTTTCTTCTAAGGGGATGATGTTGGCTGCCTTTTCCATTTCTACAATAGGTGTAGATTTTATGGCTCCCAGAATTGTACGCAGACTTCTATTTTGCGTTTTGTCTAGTATCTGTTTATTGGGAAATAGCAGTAATCTTTTACAAATCAGACACATGCACTTCCTTTAAAGGTTATCATGAAAAAATATCAAGCTAAATAAAAAGCAGAACCAGTCAGCTTCACAATAGCATAAATGACAAGTGAGCGTTACAGCTAAAGAGCCTTTATCAGCACATACGTAAATCTACAAACCACAATGAATACACAAAATCACTTAACTGACTGGTCTCCAAAATAAATCACATAACTATCTGGCCAGTAGAATAATCGGCACCTGTGTGCCCTCTCTGATAGATACTGACCAGAAAGGGTCATGAGTGATTAGGGCTGTAACTCAAAGATATTAGATAGATCTGTCTTGGGTGTTAGGCCTCATAAGTAAATTGTTGCCCTTGAGATGGATAGGACAGTTCTCAAAAGGCTTGTGGACGTACCATTTTGTCGTCTGCTATTACATGTCTAATCGTGAAGATAAATAGCATCCTTCAAAAGTCTGAAAGTGCTGATCATTGTTTAGAAGACCAAAATCCTAGAGTTAACACTCTGGGGTAAATGTAGGAACATCACTGCAGCTACAGAGTTGCATGCGGACGGAGACACAGACAGTTTCTAATCAGCTGTCCCTACTGGTGGCAGAGCACTTATAGTTTATAACCGTGTGCAGTGAGATTGGTTCACATCTCCCGACTTTACCTTCACCTTTACCGAAATCCCAGTTTGGCTTCTGCCCCTCTATGTTTGGGGGGAAAACAGAAATAGACCCACTGTGCCCCTAACAAGCATGTCATAAAAGTCCACTAATTGCGGGTGTTTGCTTTGAAGTCAGAATTCATTTTTCTGAGAGCCAAGAAACCAACTGTCTGCTTACAAATAAACCAGATCTGTAAAATGAATGTGCACATAAAACTAAGTTTCTGGGACAAAGACTGAAGCCTAGAGGTTGATGAGCAACCACAATATTTCACAAAAGTTTACAACCGGTGAACGTAAAGAAGTAGAAGATGCAGAAGATGAAAAGGAAGAAGAAGAGAAAGAAAAAGAAGAAGAAAGTGCTGATAAAAATTATTGTTTTACAGACAATGTACATGTATACCTCATTCTTTAAAATACAGAAAGTATCGAAATAAATCCATCTTTAAAAGCCTGCAAATATGTAAACCCATCTTTAAAAGACTGCAAAAATGTAAATTCCATCTTTACAAGCCTTTCTTTATGTAAGGTATTATTTGATATGAAACATATTAATTGTAAGTAAAATGTAAAATAATTGAATGTTACAAGATTGTTTCCTGTATTCACAGAGGATTCCTACAGAAAGCAGGTGGTCATCGATGGAGAGACTTGCCTCCTTGATATTCTAGACACAGCTGGTCAGGAAGAGTATAGGTACTACATCTGTACACACTCGTCTTATCGTTGACATTTTTGTAACAAATCTGTCTTTCAAATCTGACTTATAACTGACCCTACCATGACAAACCTATTCAGACCTGTCATATTTCTACCATAAAGTTAAATCATTTGATTTGTTTTTAACATAATTATTTATAACACACACATGCCTGCACATGTGTACAAACACACACACACACACACACACACACACACACACACACACACACACAGAGACGTGTGTGTGTTATATGACTTGAAAACAAGTCAAATATATATATATAAGTATGAGAGTCCCATAGCGTTGGCAGCTAGACACCTGCCTGTGAATCTGAAGGTTGTGGGTTCGCACCCTGATAGAGCCGGACATTTTTTTAAAAACGACTTTGGCACCACACTCTACACATCTACCACAGCCTTGAGTGGGTACCCACACCCAGTCACTGGGAACAAAGGTGGCACGGTAAGATTGCACACACCACATCACCCACCAAGTACCAACACACACATACAAAATACACAGGTCTAGCCAACATATTCCAATACACCTAAAGGTATGGAAAAAGAGACCTTTGCTTTATATAAAAGTATATCTTGTCAGTAACAGTGTTCGAACAGAACTATACAGATCTATTTTGTCCACTATGTACTATTGCAGCTATATATATATATAATCTGTCATAATATCTCTTACTATCTCTGACATTGGTATTATTATTCTTGTGACAGTGCGATGAGAGATCTGTTTAAATTTTGTTCTTGTACATGAGAGTGTCATAAGAGGTATGTATAAATATTGCTCTAGTATATGACAGTGCTAGAAGAGATATGTATAATATATTGTCTTGAACATGACAGTTCCATGAGAGATCTATATAGATATATATAGAGATATATAGAGATATATTATATATATATATATTGACTTATATATAGTCAAATATATATAATATAAGTATGATAAGTCCCATATGCGTTGGTAGCATGGACAGTTCCATGTGAGATCTCTATCCTGTGGGTTTACCCTGATATAGCGACATTTTTTTTTAAAACGACTTTGGACTCCTATTGTTACCCAGTACTTGATGGGTACCAGGCACCCGTCCTGGGAAGTAAAGGTGTTCTTGTAAGATGACTGTTCCATGAACCACCATATAAATATTGTTCTATGTAAAATACAGGTCCATGCCTATATTCCAATACATATATAGGTATGGAATTATATACCTATGCTTAGATATAATATTATATCTTGTCAGTAACAGTGTTCATGAGAGAACTATATATATATATATATATGTCCACTATGTACTATTGACAGTTATGATATATTATATATATCTGTCCATAATATATCTTACTATCTCTGACATTGTATTATTAGTTCTTGTGACAGTGCGATGAGAGATCTGTTAAATTTTGTTCTTGTACATGACAGTGTCATAAGAGGTATGTATAAAATATTGCTCTAGTATATGAACAGTGCTACAAAGATATATTTTTTTATATTGTTTCTTGAACATGACTTCGTTCCATGTAAGTATCTTGTCTATATGTATTATATTGTATTTTATATTTATATTCTTTATATGTGATATATTGTATTCCCTGTGATATAAGTGTCTGTCCCTGTGATATATATGTCCTGTCCCTGTTATATATGTCTGTTTCCATTAGAGATAATATATATATTATATATATATATATCTCCATGTATATATTGTACTGTATATAAGATATCTACCTATATAAAAGTGTCTGTCCCTGCGATATAATGTCAGTTCCCTGAGCGATATATATATATCTGTCCCTGTGATATAATATGTCTGTCCCTATAGATATATATATATCTATATATATATAATTGTCTGTTCCTGTGATATAATGTCTGTCCCTGTGATATAACTATGTATGTGATATATTGTCTCTCCTGTGATATAACAGTTCCATGAGAGATAATTTTCTCTCCCTAATATATATATATCTATCCCTGTGATATAATTATCTGTTCTGTGATAATAATTGTCTGTCCTGTGATATGACAGTCTGGCCCATGATATAAATTGTCTGTCCTGTATATAATTGTTGTCCCTTGATATAATGACAGTCCCTGTGATATATTGTCTGTATCCTGTGATATAATTGTCTGTCCCTGTGATATAATCTGTCTGTCCCTGTGATATAATTGTCTGTCCCTGTGATATAATTGTCTGTCCCTGTGATATAATTGTCTGTCCCTGTGATATAATTGTATGCCCCTGTGAATAAATATATAATCTGTCAATACTGTGATATAATAATATCTGTTACCTGTATATATGTATCTATCCAATATATAATTGTCTGTATATATGTGATATATATTGTCTTGTCACTGTGATATAATTGACAGTTCCATGTGATATATCTGTATATCCCTGTGATATAATTGTCTGGTCTTGTGATACATAATTGACTGTCCCTGTGAGAGATCAGTACATGCGAACTGGTGAAGGATTTCTCTGTGTGTTTGCTGTCAACAATTCTGTCTTTTGATATATTGTCTGTACTGTGAGAACTGTCCCTGTGGTACAATTGTCTGTCTTGTGATATAATTATCTGCTCCCTGTGTATTAATTGTCTGTCCCTGTGATATAATTGTCTGTCCCTGTGATAAAAGTGTCTGTCCCTGTGATATAAGTGTCTGTCCCTGTGATATAATTGTCTGTCCCTGTGATATAATTGTCTGTTTCTGTAATATAATTGAATGTCCCTGTGATATAATTGTCTGTCCCTGTGATATAAGTTTCTGTCCCTGTGATAAAAGTGTCTGTCCCTGCGATATAATTGTCTGTCTGTCGCGTGCGAATGTGCACCAGAACGCACCAGTACGGAGTGAGCAAATAAGACGTCAAAACAATACGTAACGTTGTTATGATAATATTGTTGTCTGAGCAGTTGATGTTTATAGTCCGTAAGGAGACGGACGTGGGAATCCTTGAGGACGCTTAGCAACCCCGGATCCCACGGAAGCAAACGTATATATAAAGTTTGGATCCTTGAGGACGTTTTACCCCGGGACTCCAAGACTCAGCAGGAAGCTGGTAAACTACATTCTCTGGCAGCAAGCCGTAATACTTTCATTGCTTAATTCGGACGTTGTCCGAGGAGAAAAGTAAATCGTCTACCTAGATGATATGTCATGATCTCAAGGTCGGACTGCGACCTCTCGTGAGGACAATATCAATACATGGATGTACGAGCGAGCTTGTTTGGGGTTGAACGAGTTGATTATTGATTGCATATGTATTTCTCCTTGTATTGCTGATTGTATATATCAATACAAAACCGTTGGAACTTAACGCATTAGCGTTGTCGAACTCTACCTTTTGAAAGCCTTGAAAGTAACTACTGTTTGTACCCCTACTTTGCTTATTTCATCTTGGTACCACCACAATCAGCTTGAAGAGCCTCAGAAAGCACAATGAAAGCCCCCCGCACGTATCAATGGGGGCCCAGCCTTTAATAAGAGAATGAGGGACCCATCTCGTCACAAGGTGTGATACGGACATTTTTTGTCGCATTGTATTTGCCTCAAGTTGTACACGAAGCACATTTCCAATTGATCACAGTTCTGTACCCAATCTCTAGCTGTGGATAGTCGATTCAATGTATCAAGTCGCCCCGCCAGCCGGTCTGTTCTAAGCCATCGTTGGATCTTCATCGGGACCATATCATTCTTCGGTTCGTATGGATCCTTCATCGGGACCGTAAATCATTCTTCTTCTTTGGATCTTCATCGGGACAGTAGCCCCTCTTCGTTGGATCTCCGTAATAATGACTGCGCTGGAGAGCTTCATCAGAATTCAAGTCACCGTTACTGACTGTGCCACTTTTCCCGTTCGATTGCATCGGATCAAGTCGTCCTTTTTGGTTGTACCTTGATATGTTACTTGCCGTTGAAAACCGGTCCGTTATTGTAGCGATTTTTCCATTCGCTAACATTGCAGTGTGTTTGTTTGTCTGCCACACAATTGGTAAGTCCAAATTGTGGTTGTTTGTGGTTTCATGTTGCGCTGACAATTTAACTCTTTCCTCCAAGAAGAACCTGGTTGTCCTATGCGCAAGTGGTGCAGAGCGAGTGGCCATTAATTGTTACGTGTGTGACAGTACGCAAGTAATTCGTTTGTCCTTTCAGCGTCACTTCACCACACACTATCATATATATCAATTGTTGTATATTGATTGTCATATTATTTAATATGTCTACATTTGCTGAGTTTTTGGGAGTTAGGTCGAAGTACTAGGCCTAGAAAATGACAACTCCTAGCTTTCGCCGAAGCGCCGAATGAAAAGTGGTGTGCGGACAGTAGATAACCAGTGTACGCGATGAGGGAGAACAGCGGAACGCGCCTGGAAAAAAGAAAATGGAGTTGGTGAGAAATTACCGCATGGAAAAAGAAGCTGAGGCTGAGAAAACTAACGCTGGGAAAAAGAATCTATGGCGGAAAGAACTGCGTTTCGAAATGGAGACTAATTTGGAAAGTTACGTTTGGAGAACGAAATTATGAACTAGTCGCGTATAGATCGAGACAACGTTGTTCTGCTGTGTCAGAATCAGAGAGCACGTTCGTCTTGTGTCTAGTTAGCCGTTCGGGTTCCGACCAAGGGGCATGTGTAATACATACCCAAATTACCTGTTTCTTACACCCTACAGAAGATCTTCCTAATTTTTGGATCTCTTCTCTTTTTAGGCGATGAATACCGCTAAGATACCAGAGGAACAATGTGGTGTCCCCATCGTTTTAAGGGATTTTGCGAACGGACCACAGTTGTTGAACACGTTCACGAACTTATCAGACGACGACCGCGCGTTCGTTCGACATATAGTCAAACAAAAACTGTGCTGGCGTCGAAGTGCATGAAACCGAAGAAGGTTACCGCGTGGTCAGTTTAAATCCTGGTGGTTGCCAAAATCCGTCCGATGGAAGTTTCGCTGATTTTGGTGGCCGCGTTTCGAACGCTTTGTTTACCGCGTTGGGTTGCCATTGGCAGATGTTTTAAAAATTTCTATGATCAAGTTGGCTGATCTCATTATTCGAGATAAAAATTTTGTCATCATGTAGTTTCGGAGATGTTCTCATTTTTTCAAGAAAAGGGAAACCGAAATCAGTTGATGGAGAATGACAACATTGGGATGAACAAGCGTTGTCACACTGCACATCCGGGTAAACCATTGCACAACAACAACCCCAGGTTCGAGGACAATACGTCCCAAGACTTGCATCCAGTATTAGGGTGCACCACAACGCCTCGTCAAAATCGGACCCGGGTCGGAACGAATGGCCATCAATATGCAAGGGGCGCTATCGCAGCCACAGCGAAACAGAGACAAGCCCCCAGAGAGAGTCAAACGTCCAAAACGCAGGGTTGAACATTATCAACCCCGTTCACCTGGCTTGTTCAACTCTGTCTTCGTGGAGACAAAAAGTCCCGATTGTCCCCACAAGCGACAACAGGAAAATGAATGATGATGGTCCATCAGCACGAGTTAGGTTTCAACGCAACACAGGTCCTATATGTGGCTAATGTCTTGCAGGGTTTTCCCACTTGAAAACGTTCTGAGTGCCCAAGGGTTGTAACAATCATGCTAATTGCGGCGCAAACAGTAAACCACGAATGTCCACAAAAAGTGACAAATTCAGGCGAACCGGTCCAGGTTCGAATCCATCCAGAAATGTTTACCCAGCGTTTGTCAGCTGTACCACTGGAGGGCTGGTTTGCCTTTGCGATAATGGTTAGGTTGGAAACAAAAAATCTAAAGTATTACGTGACACGGGTGCCAATGTTATAGGAGTGGCTAGATACCTAATCCCCAAATCGGCATACTTAGGTCGGTATTGGCAAGTGTCGTACTTTTTGGTGGTCGTTTAGAAAGATTTCCTTTAGCAAAAGTCCTATTAAATAACCCGTATTTTCAAGGGGGTTGCCGAAGTGGTGTGTTTTGGAGGAGAGACCATCAGCAGACGTACTCCTTGGATCAGTTCCAGGAGCAAAGAGATTCCCTCCGCGTGAGGAAATCGAACGCTGGTATAAAGAAAATGAGGGTTCTGTGACCTGGAAGCTAATGCTGCAGTTACACGCCGCGCTCAACTAGAGAGTAAGTAACGATGAGGAAGCCACACCTGCGTTATACAGTCAGCTAACTTCGAACGAAAACCAAATAGCTATCACATGTGGGATAGCTAGCGAAGAAGCAGTAAAGAATGAACCAGAACGACCAAGTGTTGCCCTGGAACGACCACACGGGCGCCACGAAAACAAACAGTTTTTTGCGATACAACAACGGGCGGATCCTACACTGCACTAAATGCTTTTCTAGGGCAGAAGTAACCGGTGTTAGAACATGTAAGCAAGGTACAGTTGCATTTTTATGTGAAGAATGGAATTTTCATGAGATATTTTAAATCACCTGTTTATGCAATGTAAACAATTAGTCGTTCCTTGTTTATGTTATAGAACCGATGTTCTGAGAGTTACACATGACACACACCTTTTGCTGCACATTTAGGTATAGGTAAAAACACAGAAAGAGTTCATTTGCTTGCACAATTCATATTGGCCTGGTTGTTTCCACAGATATTAGGAAATACTGTAGGTCATGTAAAGACGTCAAATGATGGCGAGAAAGGATAAAGAGGATTTAGATACATTTTAACATTTGTAGACATGGCATCACGTTGGGTTGAAGCAGTAAACCGTTACGTCATATCACTACTGAGTCAGTAGCAGAAGCATTGATGCTTAATATTCTCTAGAGTAGGCTTTCCTGAAACAATCCTATCAGATCACGGATCACAATTTATTTCAGAAGCAATGCGCTCTTTTGACAAATTACTTTGCCATCTCTCACGTTTTTTTCTGCAAGATATCACCCAGCAATCAATGGGCTAGTAGAAAATTTTAAATGGGAAAATAAAAGCTATGCTACCCAAGTTACTAATCAATTTCCGCAGACTGGGGACAAATACCTTCCTGCTGTTTTGTTCGCCTATCGTGAGGTGCCCCAGAGCAGTACAGGTTTCTCACCTTTCGAACTTATATATGGTGCTAATCCCCAGAGGTCCACTGTCGCTGTTAAAGGACATATGGATCGGTAAAGGCGATCAAGAAGCGCCTCAAACATATATTAAATTCGTGACGGAGTTACGTAACAAGATAATCACAGGTTGTCAAGTTGCACGGGACAACTTGGAAAATGCTGGTACTCATCAAAGAGAATACGTTAACCGTAACCAGAGACTAATCACTCTCCAGCCTAATGATGATGTATTGATATTTCTGCAAGATAATAATAATTGTTTATTAGCCAAATGGCAGGGTCCTTTTAAAGTTATTAAGAAAATTTCAGATGTGGACTATCTTATTGATGTCAGAGGACATCATAAAGTATATAATCTAAACATGCTTAAAGAGTTTAAGTCTCGCCCTGGTGTTTTGTCTGAAGTGTTAGAAGCAGCTGAGGCACCCGACAATAATTTGCAAGAAGAAGAAATGGAGGCAGCATTCTGCCACGTCATTGACGAAGAGAGCAATGATGTCGAGGTGGACACTGCTCATCAATTGTCTCTACCCGAACTGGTACCCAGAGAAACATGGAGAGACGTGGAAGTCGCGCCCTCGGTTCCACCAGATATGGTGCGTCGTATAAAGCGTATTTTGGCTACATTCGACAAAACATTATCGGACATACCGGGTAGAACGACAGAAGCAGTGCATTCCATTGAATTAATAGATCATAAACCCATCAAAATGAAACCATATGTTATACCTTTTCATTATCGGGATGCAGTAGATAAGGAAATCGATAACATGATTAAGTGGGGTTATAATAGAACCGTCGACATCACCCTATGCTTTTCCTATAGTGGTTGTCCGAAAGAAAGATGGAAGCCTTCGGATCTGCATAGATTTCCGAAAATTGAATCGAATCACGGTTGTAGATGCTGAAAATATCCCAAATATGGAAGATATGTTTGTTGCATTGTCGAAGGCTAGGTATTTTACAAGTTAGATCTTACCAAGGGTTATTGGCAGATTCCCTTAGCCGAGGATTCCAAAAAATACACCGCGTTTCAGACGAACAAAGGTTTGGTTCACTTCAACTATATGGTCTTCGGGCTTTCCCCCGGGAGCACCGGCGACGTTCACCCCGCCGCCTCGTACGCAAGTTGTTACAGGGTCGTAATGATGTTATTCATTATCTGGATGACATTCTGCTTTTCCATAATGATTTAGACGAACATATTCGAGGTCTAAAGACATTACTGGAACGCATAAAATCGTTTAAATCTGACAGTTAGACCAACTAAAGTGAAGGTCGCTTTCGAGGAGGTCACGTTCCTCGGTCATGTTGTAGGACACGGGGTCCGTAAACCCGAAGCCACCACGGTGGGTAAGATTCTTAACATCCCTATACCAAAAAACGAAGAAACAAGTGCGTGCGTTATTGGGTTTATGTAACTTTTATGCCAATTCATTCCTAACTATTCAACCATTACAGCCGTGTTGTCCTCATTGACGATGAAAGGAATGCCAGCGAAGGTTATCTGGACGAGAGAGTGCGAGGACGCGCTCCAGAGATTACAAAAGGCATTTAATAGTAATCCGTTCTTGTGTTTGCCAGATTTGTCTCTGCCGTTTTATGTATCCACAGATGCGTCTGATTGTTGCGATTGGTGGGACGTTGGAATGCAATCCAGAGAGGGCACCCTACTTCCTGTTGTTTATGCCAGCAGAAGCTGTCTCCTACTGAATGCCGTTACAGCGTGGGCGAGAGGGAAGCACTAGCCATTTTTTGGGCAATAGGGAAGTTTACCCCATTCCTGTATGGCAGTCACTTCTTTGTCTTGACAGACCATCGTCCACTCGAAGTCTTGAACTCAGCACCCATCAAAACTCACGCATATTAAGATGGACAATGTTTCTACAGACGTTCAACTTCACAGTTATTTATCGCCCAGGGAAAGAGAATGTCTTAGCCGATTTTTTGTCGCGCACCCAGAGGCATTGGAAGACGATTGATGTTTATTTGTTCAATTTACATGATATTTAAAATGCATGATGTTATGAAAAATAATTTGGATAACGATAATGTTGTTGATAATAATGCTTAGTGAAAGTCAGGAATCTATATTTTGCATGCATTTAGTAATGTATTGACGATATATTGAGGAGTGAGTGTGTGTGTATTCAAGTGTTCTTATTTGCTCTCAACGTACTGGTGCTGTTTGCCGCGACATGACTCCAGTTTTCCGACCGACCGGACTACGTCAAGTCCTAGTGCTCGGTCGTCCTCGGGGAGGGGGGAAAAGCTGTCGCGTGCGAATGTGCACCAGAACGCACCAGTACGGAGTGAGCAAATAGAGACGTCAAAACAATACGTAACGTTTGTTATGATAATATTGTTGTCTGAGCAGTTGATGTTTATAGTCCGAAGGAGACGGACGTGGGAATCCTTGAGGACGCTTTTAACCACCGGGATCCCACGGAAAGCAAACGTTATATAAAGTTGGATCCTTGAGGACTTTTTACCCCCGGGACTCATAATTGTGTCTGTCCCTGTCCTGTGATATAATTGTCGTGATGTCCCTGTGATATAATTGTCTGTCCCTGTGATATAATTGTCTGTCCCTGTGATATAATTGTCTGTCCCTGTGATATAATGTCTGTCCCTGTGATATAATTGTCTGTCCCTGTGATATAATTGTCTCCCTGCGATATAATTGTCTGTCCCTGTGATATAATTGTCTGTCCCTGTGATATTATTATCTGTCCCTGTGATATAATTGTCTGTTCCTGTGATATAAGTGTCTGTCCCTGTGATATAATTGTCTGTCCCTGTGATATATTTGTCTCTCCCTGTGATATAAGTGTCTGTCCCTGTGATATAATTTTCTCTCCCTGTGATATAAGTGTCTGTCCCTGTGATATAATTGTCTGTCCCTGTGATATAATTGTCTGTCCCTGTGATATAATTGTCTGTCCCTGTGATATAATTGTCTGTCCCTGTGATATAATTGTCTGTCCCTGTGATATAATTGTCTGTCCCTGTGATATAATTGTCTGTCCCTGTGATATAATTGTCTGTCCCTGTGATATAATTGTCTGTCCCTGTGATATAATTGTCTGTCCCTGTGATATAATTGTCTGTCCCTGTGATATAATTGTCTGTCCCTGTGATATAATTGTCTGTCCCTGTGATATAATTGTCTGTCCCTGTGATATAATTGTCTGTCCCTGTGATATAATTGTCTGTCCTGTGATATAATTGTCTGTCCCTGTGATATAATTGTCTGTCCTGTGATATATTGTCTGTCCCTGTGAATTGTCTGTCCCTGTGATATAATTGTCTGTCCCTGTGATATAATTGTCTGTCCCTGTGATATAATTGTCTGTCCCTGTGATAAACATGTCTGTCCCTGTGGTATAATTGTCTGTCACTGTGATATAATTGTCTGTCCCTGTGATATAATTGTCTGTCCTTTTGATAAAAATGTCTGTCCCTGTGGTATAATTTTCTGTCCCTGTGGTATAATTGTCTGTCTCTGTGATATAATTATCTGTCCCTGTGATATAATTGTCTGTCCCTGTGATAAAAGTGTCTGTCCCTGTGATAAAAGTGTCTGTCCCTGTGATATAAGTGTCTCTCCCTGTGATATAAGTGTCTGTCCCTGTGATAAAAGTAACTGTCCCTGCGATATAATTGTCTGTCTCTGTGATATAATTATCTGTCCCTGTGATATAATTGTCTGTCCCTGTGATAAAAGTGTCTGTCCCTGTGATAAAAGTGTCTGTCCCTGTGATATAAGTGTCTCTCCCTGTGATATAAGTGTCTGTCCCTGTGATAAAAGTAACTGTCCCTGTGATATAAGTGTCTGTCCCTGTGATAAAAGTAACTGTCCCTGTGATAAAAGTGTCCCTCCCTGTGATAAAAGTGTCCCTCCCTGTGATATAAGTGTCTGTCTCTGTGATATAATTGTCTGTCTCTGTGATAAAAGTGTCTGTCTCTGTGATAAAAGTGTCTGTCCCTGTGAAAAAAGTGTCCCTCCCTGTGATATAATTGTCTGTCTCTGTGATATAATTGTCTGTCTCTGTAATAAAAGTGTCTGTCTCTGTGATAAAAGTGTCTGTCCCTGTGATATAAGTTATACAACTGTCTTCCCCTGTTATATAGTTGTCTTCCCCTGTTTTATAATTGTCTTCCTCTGTTATATAGTTGTCTTCCTCTAATCTTCAATTTTCTATACTGGATCAGCAGATCTCGGTACTCATAGTTTTCAGTTGAACTTGATTGTTTTGGTGATTGAAAGTAGAATATATCAGCATAGTTTCTACCCATGGATTCTATTTCAGAATGTGGACAGACTTGAACTTGTGATTCATTAATGTATCAGTTTGAAGAAAGAAAAAAGGAGGAGGCGGTAAAGGAGGAAGAGTATGAGTAGTAGTTATAACACTGATATTCTGTTTGTAACATTTTTTATGACTGATTTCAGATTAAGCGAGTCAAGGATGCAGATGAAGTGCCCATGGTTTGTAAGTATTTCTTGTGCTTGTTGTCCTTGGCTGTGTCTAGTTTGTATATTTAACCCTGTCACCTGAGAAGGTTAAATCTATTCATTTTCAGTTGTGACAAAGCCCTGTAAATACCTAGATATCGCCATTTTGGTACTGACCAGTTCTCGAAAAGTTTAGTTAATTACCATTTCTTCTATGTATGCTATGTAGTCTTTAGGAGGCTTAGGTGTTAATTAACTAACTATCCAATTTAGATTGGGCTCATTGTAAATCCTTTCGTTTTTTTAAAGCTAGACTGACAAACAATTTTCCTATAAGCCCCATTGATAGAGGTTAAAGTATGAGTCACCAGATATTTGTTTTAGGCCCCAGGGAATGTATTCATTTCAATTCCTAAATCTGTTCTTGTTTGTTGATTACTCTTTTTTTTTTTGGTGTTAAGTTAGTTGTGTATCCTTTACAGAATGTTGCAGAACCAACCCCAGCATTTATTGGCTGTTGTGGTTTTTCTAGGCAAATTTTACGTTCAGTAGTTTGCCATTGCTTTCTGAGCGGCCAGCTCTTTGAACCACTGTCAAAACCAACGCAAGATAAATCGTTCGCAGCAGTGATTGAACGTGGCACCCTGGCATTACGGAGCGCGTTCGTGATGCCTAAGCCACAGGAACTGTGTATCTTTATATATTTTGAAACATAAGTTTTAAAATGTGTAGGTAAAAAATTCTTAAACAAATTATTATTCTATGTAAAATAACAGTTTTTTACATTAGTTTTTTTTATTTTATTCCCACGGGTTCATGGCTCATTTTTTGTCCAGCTTCATAGGGTGAAAGAGTAAAAGGCTGTTGACTGTTTTGACTGGTATCACACCTCAGTTTCTTTTTGTTGTTTTTTGTGTGTGTTTTTTGTTTGTTAACAATATCCTCACATCAGTGGAGATTTGAACACCCATTCACTGGAAGGACAGATAAGTGTGCTAGCAATCATCATGAGGTGAGGTTTAAACTACATTCCTTGACTTGATGCTGTCATTTTGAAGAGCACCCCCAGTTCTGTCTCAAGTGTTACACATTAATTTGTCATAAATCACTCTGCTGGTAAAACCATAGCAGCAAAATTATTTCACGATTTTGATTTTTACTTCTTTTTATCTTCTTTGCCTTCACCAGCTGTAAACTCAGACAGGAAGTTCAGTTCTGGACTTGTTCCAGCATAGGGCCTTGGAACAAGCATAGGGCCCTGGAACCAGCATAGGGGCCTGGAACCAACACAGGGCCCTGGAACCAACATAGGGCCCTGGAACCAACATAGGGCCTTGGAACCAACATAGGGGCCTGGAACTAGCAAAGGGGTCTGGAACCAACATAGGACCCTGGAACCAACATAGGGATTTGGAACTAATATAGGGGTCTGGAACCAAGATAGGGGTCTGCAACTAGCATAGAGGACTGGAACCAGCAGAGTGCCCTGGAACCAACATAGGACCCTGGAACCAAGATAGGGGTCTGGGACTAGCATAGGACCCTGGAACCAACATAGGGGTCTGGAACCAACATAGGGGTCTGGAACCAACATAGGGGTCTGGAACCAACATAGGGGTCTGGAACCAACATAGGGGTCTGGAACCAAGATAGGGGTCTGGGACCAAGATAGGGCCCTGGGACCAAGATAGGTACCCTGGAACCAACATAGGGGTCTGGAACCAGCATAGAGCCCTGGAACCAGCATAGGGGTCTGGAACCAGCATAGGGGTCTGGAACCAGCATAGGGGTCTGGAACCAGCATAGGGGTCTGGAACCAGCATAGGGGTCTGGAACCAGCATAGGGGTCTGGAACCAGCATAGGGGTCTGGAACCAGCATAGGGGTCTGGAACCAACATAGGGCCTTGGAACCAGCATAGGGTCCTGTCCCCAGCATAGGGCCCTGGAACCAGCATAGGGCCTTGGAACCAGCATAGGGTCATGGAACCAGCATAGGTTTCTGGAACCAGCATAGGGCCCTGGAACCACCATAGGGGTCTAGATCCAACATAGGGCCCTGTAACCAACACAGGGACCTGGAACCAACATAGGGGTCTAGAACCAGCATAGGGGTCTGAAACCAGCATAGGGGTCTGAAACCAGCATAGGGGTCTGAAACCAGCATAGGGAGTTTGTAACTTGTAATCTATACACATCATTTGACATCAACAGTAAACTAAGTATTTGCATACTTCATTTCTGGCCCACATGTTGATCATTGCTGTTTAAAAGCTCTGTTTTCTTGTTCATTGAGTTGTCAAGTCCCTGTTTGTGTATAAAGTTTTCCATTGATAAAGACTTTGATTGAAATGCTGGGCTGTATTTGTGCACATCCTTTCAATTCTCTCCATTGAGCTGTTTGTCACAGTGTGTGTTGTATTAAGCATTTCTGTTTTCTAGAAAGCATTATATTGTTGGCACCTTTTCTTCTATCCAGATGATAGTTATTATTGTGCTGTGAGGAGGTATGAGACTCCCAGTCCATGGCGATGACGAGTGTAACTAGCAAGACCTGCCCACGTTAAGAAAAGTCCAACACAATTATAGCATTGGATTTCAGGATCCTTTCTGCAATAATTTCTTCTTTTATTTTATCCCCTTCCTATATTACCATTTCCACACACATGGTAGAAAGTATTAAAGAGGAATTATTTTGTGAAGTATATGACTCTTATACTGTGATCTGTATCTGCCAGTGGTAGGAAATAAAGTAGACCTTCCCACAAGAACTGTAGAGCAGCGACAAGGGAAACACGTGGCAGAAGTCTATCATATACCTTACGTTGAAACCTCCGCCAAGACTAGACAAGGGGTGGATGATGCTTTCTACACACTTGTCCGAGAGATCCGCAAATATGTAAATATTTATGTCATGTTTGTGTTTGAATGTGTTGCTGTTTAGCTTCTTTCATGCTAACTAACTGTCACAACTGTCTGTATTTACTTCTTTGTTTAGGGTGGTGTAGACCGCGGACTTGTGAGCCTGAGGATTTAGAGTTACATGGCTAGTGTATTGCTACCGGCTGTACGGGTTAGAATGTTTAATTCTGCCCCTGACAGAAAAACTTCATCGTCTTACCATGGGTTATACCCAGGTCATTCAAATAAAAGCCCGACATTGTATCTGCTTGGCCAGCAGCTCTTTTTTATGTCTTGACAACCACTGGCAACAGCTGAAACATGGGCCGGGGAAACCAAGAATAGACCTACTGCACCCAAAACACATAGTATAAGAATAGTAATTCGTCCGTTTTTAGGGCGAAAGTGTTTTTGCCTGGGGGGAAGTAATGAAACTTCCCAGATATTATAGATCAGTTGGATGTGCAGGGGCACAAGTTCTGAAATATACTAAAAGTCCAGTGATGGATGAACAATCAGAACTTTGGCCAAGTGTCTGAGCGAAGAAGTTTAAAATAAAACGATCTCAACACATTGTGCAAATTCTCATCCGAATCATGGTGGACACTGTGTCAAATGGGGAAGAAACAATTTTCAAGAGAAACCCCTGAGACGCTTGTTGAGTGCCAAATGTGGACCATTCCAGTGGGATGATAAAAGTCACAGTCAAGACTAGACTGACTAGACAGAGGGGAGTGGATTACTAGACTGACAAGCCAGAGTAGAGTGGATGACTAGACTGACTAGACAGAGGGGAGTGGATGACTAGACTGACAAGCCAGAGTAGAGTGGATGACTAGACTGACTAGACAGAGTGGAGTGGATGACTAGACTGACAAGCCAGAGTGGAGTGGATGATTAGACTGACAAGACAGAGTGGAGTGGATGACTAGACTGACAAGGCAAAGTGGAGTGGATGACTAGACAGATTGAAGTGGATGACTAGACAGATTGAAGTAGATGACTAGACTGACAAGATAAGAGTGAAGTGGATGACTAGACTGACAAGGCAGAGTGAAATGAATGACTAGACTGACAAGGCAGAGTGAAATGAATGACTAGACTGACAAGGCAGAGCGAAGGGGATGACTAGACTGACAAGGCAGAGTGAAGTGGATGACTAGACTGACAAGACAGAGTGGAGTGAATGACTAGACTGACAAGGCAGAGAATTGAATGAATAGACTGTGACTGAAGGGATGACAGAGACGCAGAGTGAAGTGATGACTAGACTGACAAGGCAGAGTGAAGTGATGATAGACTGAGGCAGACGAAGGGGATGACTAGACTGACAGGCAGAGTGAAGTGGATGACTAGACTGACAAGGCAGAGTGAATGGATGACTGACTGACAAGGCAGAGTGAAGTGAATGACTAGACTGACAAGGCAGAGTGAAGTGGATGACTAGACTGACAAGGCAGAGTGAAGTGGATGACTAGACTGACAAGGCAGAGTGAAGTGAATGACTAGACTGACAAGGCAGAGTGAAAGGGATGACTAGACTGACAAGGCAGAGCGAAGGGGATGACTAGACTGACAAGGCAGAGTGAAGTGAATGACTAGACTGACAAGGCAGAGTGAAGTGGATGACTAGACTGACTAGACAGAGTGAAGTGAATGACTAGACTGACAAGGCAGAGCGAAGGGGATGACTAGACTGACAAGGCAGAGTGAAGTGGATGACTAGACTGACAAGGCAGAGTGAAGTGGATGACTAGACTGACAAGGCAGAGTGAAGTGAATGACTAGACTGACAAGGCAGAGTGAAATGAATGACTAGACTGACAAGGCAGAGTGAAGTGATGACTAGACTGACAAGGCAGAGTGAAGTGAATGACTAGACTGACAAGGCAGAGTGAAGTGAATGACTAGACTGACAGGCAGAGCAGAGTGGATGACTAGTGACTAGACAGACTGATGACTAAGACAAGGCAGAGCGAAGTGGATGACTAGACTGACAAGGCAGAGTGAAGTGAATGACTAGACTAGACTGACAAGTGCAGAGTGAAGTGAATGACTAGACTGACAAGACAGAGTGAAGTGGATGACTAGACTGACAAGGCAGAGTGAAGTGAATGACTAGACTGACAAGGCAGAGTGAAGTGAATGACTAGACTGACAAGGCAGAGTGAAGTGAATGACTAGACTGACTAGACTGATGACTAGACACAAGGCAGAGTGAAGTGGATGACTAGACTGACAAGGCAGAGTGAAGTGATGACTGACTGACTAGACTGACACTGACAGAGTGAAGTGGATGACTAGACTGACTAGACAGTGAAGTGGATGACTAGACTGACAAGGCAGAGTGAAGTGGATGACTAGACTGACTAGACAGAGTGAAGTGGATGACTAGACTGACAAGGCAGAGTGAAGTGAATGACTAGACTGACAAGGCAGAGTGAAGTGAATGACTAGACTGACAAGGCAGAGTGAGTGAATGACTAGACTGACAAGGCAGAGTGAATGACTAGACTGACAAGGCAGAGTGAAGTGAATGACTAGACTGACAAGGCAGAGTGAAGTGGATGACTAGACTGACAAGGCAGAGTGAAGTGAATGACTAGACTGACAAGGCAGAGTGAAGTGAATGACTAGACTGACAAGGCAGAGTGAAGTGAATGACTAGACTGACTAGACAGAGTGAAGTGAATGACTAGACTGACAAGGCAGAGTGAAGTGAATGACTAGACTGACAAGGCAGAGTGAAGTGAATGACTAGACTGACAAGGCAGAGTGAAGTGAATGACTAGACTGACAAGGCAGAGTGAAGTGAATGACTAGACTGACAAGGCTAAGTGAGTGATGACTAGACTGACAAGGCAGAGTGAAGTGAATGACTAGACTGACAAGGCAGAGTGAAGTGGATGACTAGACTGACTATGAGTGAGAGTGAGTGGATGACTAGAGTGACTGACAAGGCAGAGTGAAGTGGAAGACTGATGACTAGACTGACAAGGCAGTGAAGTGGATGACTAGACTGACAAGGCAGAGTGAAGTGGATGACTGAATGACTAGACTGACAAGACAGACTGACAAGGCAGAGGAATGACTAGACTGACAAGGCAGAGTGAAGTGAATGACTAGACTGACAAGGCAGAGTGAAGTGATGACTAGACTGACAAGGCAGAGTGAAGTATGACTAGACTGACAAGGCAGAGTGAAGTGAATGACTAGACTGACTAGAGCGAAATGAATGACTAGACTGACAAAGCAGAGTGAAGATGACTAGAATGACTAGACTGACAAGGCAGAGTGAAGTGAATGACTAGACTGACAAGGCAGAGTGAAGTGAATGACTAGACTGACAAGGCAGAGCGAAGGGGATGACTAGACTGACAAGGCAGAGTGAAGTGAATGACTAGACTGACAAGGCAGAGTGAAGTGAATGACTAGACTGACAAGGCAGAGTGAAGTGAATGACTAGACTGACAAGGCAGAGTGAAGTGAATGACTAGACTGACAAGGCAGAGTGAAGTGGATGACTAGACTGACAAGGCAGAGTGAAGTGAATGACTAGACTGACAAGACAAGAGTGAAGTGAATGACTAGACTGACAAGACAGAGTGGAGTGGATGACTAGACTGACAAGACAGAGTGGAGTGGATGACTAGACTGACAAGACAGAGTGAAGCTGATGAAAAAAAAAAAAAAGAAGAAGGAGGAGGAAAAAATAGATTATATAAAATAAGGTAGAAAATAATAAATAGAACCATAAGTTTAAAAAAATTTATGCAAAAAAAAAAAAAAAAATATCAGTTGTGTGTTCCTTTCAGTAGCTGTGTTTTTTCTTTTCATTTCTTTCTTGCTTTTTTTTTTTAGTAGTAAGGTGCTATTGGATAATTATGTTTTTTTTTTAAATAGTATAATGTGAGCAGAAAGAGCAGGGCTGATATAAGTGGGTTTTTAAACCATTAACTTTGATGACCAATTAGTGAAAGTTGATTTCTCTTTGTATTTTCCAGAAAGAGAAGAAGGGCAAGGATCGCAAGAAACGGAAAATGGTAGGAAAGGGAGGCAAGCTGTCTTGTAGGCTGTTGTAATAAGTGCACATCATCTTATTGACTTTTTTTAATTGGTGAAACTTGTATCATAGGCTTTTTTTAAAATATGAGTTGCTTGTTTTATTGTTTTATCCACAAATAGTTTTGTATGTATTATGGACTTCTGTTGAATGTGTGAAACCTATTTGGACGAATTTTACATCAGTTAAACATTTATTCTGAACTTTTGTAAAATTTAACTTGTGAAATTGGATGTTGTAAAAATCAATTAATAACTGCAAAATGTAAAGTCGTTACAGCACACAGATGCAGGCTGCACCTGGCTAGTGTGGCCAGTATGGCTGACCCACTTATAACTCTGGAGGTTGAACAGCTATCTGGTATCTGCCCTCATGGTTTGCCAGCCAGACTGAGATTGTATCATCTCAGGGGGGTCAAATCTTCAGATAGTAGCAGAGAGAGGGAAACTGGAACTGTTGTAAAAATGAGGTCAGATTACTTTCTGTGACTTTTCTTAAAGTAACACTTAAAGATATTCAGAAAGGAATCAGTCTAGGCAGTATGCTGGCTTTTCAAACATAAATTGCCACTGATGTTGTCCTGGACATTACAATAAATGGCAGTCTGGTCAAGAGGCAGAGTTTGCTCAATGTCTGCGAATCACTTGACGCAAGTCTGTATTTTCAGTACCATGTGGCAGAGGCAGGGTTAAAATGAAGTTGGGGGCAGGGGGTGGAGGGTTATTCACTGTAATGATGATGGAGAACACTGTTGACACTCTGACAGCTGCATACTTTTTTCACTGTTTGGGTATTGTCTGGACTGCCCATCAAATCTTGTAGACAATCACAGAAAATGGAATGCATGCAAAGTAAGGCCATGATGGTCACCGGGGACTGTAAACAGGATACACCAATCTTCTCCCTGTACAAGGAAACACCAATCTTTTCCCTGTAAACAGGATACACCAATCTTCCCCTGTACATGGGATACACCAATCTTCTCCCTGTATACAGGATACACTAATCTTTTCCCTGTACACTGGATACACCAATCTTCTCCCTGTACACAGGATACACCAATCTTTTTCCTGTACACAGGATACACCAATCTTTTCCCTGTACACGGGATACACCAATCTTCTCCCTGTACATAGGATACACCAATCTTTTTCCTGTACACAGGATACACCAATCTTTTTCCTGTACACAGGATACACCAATCTTTTTCCTGTACACAGGATATACCAATCTTTTTCCTGTACACAGGATACACCAATCTTTTTCCTATACACAGGATACACCAATCTTTTCCCTGTACACAGGATACACCAATCTTTTCCCTGTACAAGGAAACACCAATCTTTTCCCTGTAAACAGGATACACCAATCTTCTCCCTGTACACAGGATACATCAATCTTCTCCCTGTACACAGGATACACCAATCTTACCCTGTACACATGATACACCAATCTTCTCCCTGTACACAGGATACATCAATCTTCTCCCTGTACACAGGATACACCAATCTTACCATGTACACAGGATACACCAATCTTACCCTGTACACAGGATACACCAATCCCCTCCCTGTACACAGGATACACCAATCTTCTCCCTGTACACAGGATACACCAATCTTCTCCCTGTGACATTTACTTGCCTTGTTGTTATTTATGACAGTCATTTGGTGCTACAGGCAAAACATGCACATTGTGGTTGCTGCAAAATAGGAACTCAGCAGCTCTACATAAGAACTAGAAAGGCAGGGCAAAGAGAGGTACAGAGTGCATAGTGAGAAAAGTGCTGTCATAGAATTGAGCCTTGCATAAAATTAAAGCTGTTTTTGATATGGGGGTGTCAAAAATGGAACATAATTGCTGCGTCTCCCCCTCCCCCTCTTTCCCTTGTCACATGATGAAGATGGTGAATATATTTTGAAGCATATTTTATAGGATTTAATAAATTAAACCTGTTTTACACTTTTTTTTTTACATAAATAAATGTGATCAATCTTGTAGTTAGTTTTGATCTAGCTGTCGCTTGTTGTTGAATTATTGAAATAGTAGTTGTTGGTTGTCATGGGTCCAAGCTGTCTTTCATATCTTCAATGACTAGAGACTGTCTTGATGACCTGTTTAGTGTGTAGTTAGATTTGTGTGATGTTCAGGACAGGTTTTTTCATATCTTTGACTCTTCTGTGCATGTAAAGCTATTGGCTTGTTTACTCAGTTATTACTTACTCATTTAGCATTGCTGTGAAGGTTTCTTTTCTTTTTCTATTATTGTGTACGAACCTTTATTTAGCACACAAATCTGTGAAGCAGAAGACAAAGGAAAAACCACTTCATTGTTTCCTATGAATAACTTTTTCAGTGGTCATAAAGGGGAAGAACTAAATAAAGAACGTTTTAATTTTTTAATTAGGTGAATGGAGCAAGTCTTGTAGTTTTAGACACTGGTGCTAAATGGATGCCTAAAAAGGAAACCAGCTTTTGTCCTGGATTGCATTATCCTGAGCCAGCATTATTTTGACCAAATCAGATGTGGTTACCTGTACAGATAGCTCTGGGTTGAGAGGCAGGGAGTTCATAGCAAAACAACTGGATGTTGCTCAGTGCATGCAACAAAGTCTGGCATATGATATCACAACATCTGGTTTGATAGAGAGATGGAGGCAGCCACTGGCTTGAGGATCAAACAGACATTTTGTAATTTTAACTAACTCTCAGAGCATGTTGAGAATGGTGAAAGGCATGTTCTGTGCAGTGGCAAGCATCATTTCAGAGGCCCCGGGTAGTTAGCACCCTATGGATATTTTCTCCAGGTGCTGCTGGTGGGAAAAAAGCAGATAGAAAGACTGGCCGGTTCTGCACAGCTTGATGATGAATTGATATATGACAAGCTAGATGTTGTGAGGGCCCCTTTGGGAGTGAGTGATCAGTGCCAGTACCGAGGCACAAATAGAAAATTTTTGTCTGAGAAGAATGGCGCTGCGGAAAGTTATCAGAGGATCTAGTCGATGTTCATCAATCAAGGGGAAGACCAGACTGATAAACAATCAGATCAGTTACTGGTGATATCAGAATTGGAACTCCTTGCTTGCTGCTGAAGATGGGGATGGAGCGCTTATGGGAGTGTCCCAAGTGCTGTGATGTCAATTCCTAATGCAGCTTCAACATTTATTTAGCATTCCTCCTCTAGATCTGTGTGTAGACAAACTGGCAACACAATGTTCATTGTTTAATTTATTGTTCAAATGACTGCAGAGTTTGTTTCTTTTCTGCAAACTTCTTTTATTATTTAATTTGTTTTGCTGTAATCAGCTTATAATATTTGATCAGTTTTGTTTCTTAGTAAGTGATGAATGCAGAAGAAGTTTCTTACTGAGCAAAGCAGTGAATTGCTTCTTCTCTGAGTTTATGGTTTTTAACGTTACCTTTTATGATGGTATTATTAGTTGTTTCATTGTGTGTGTTTGCGTGCGCATATTTTTGTGCATGTGTGTGTGATTTAAACAAATATTATTTTCAAACATTTCTAGGTAGTTCTTTGACTTAATGAATTTATTGATATGTTTAATATTTGTGTCATGTTTTTTTAATAATTGATTATAAGATAACTGAGTGGGAGAGAGAATATACAGGTGGAGAAAAGTAAAAACTTGAATTGATGAAATGGCTTGTAGAAATGAAACAAAATGCACACTGATGATGAACACAATGTTCACATTCTGTATTTATTTTGCAGAGAGGTGATTGTTGAAAGTATTCATTAAAATGCTGAGATTTTGGCAGCCGATTGAACTACACACCTGATAAATATGACAGAAAAAAACTTTTAATAATTATTACTGTTATGATCACTGATGTTTGCGGCAGACCAGGCACTTGAAGAAAACACATTATATTAGCCTCCAGTTTGCTGGAAGCCACAGTAGGATAATAGTGACCAGTGCTTTAGCTAGTTGACCCAGAGGCTGTGAGTTCAAATATTACTTAAGGCTGAATTTTCTCAAGAAAAAGTGTAGAAACTAATTTGCTACATCAGCCACCTGGTGTTGTTTATCCAGAAAACATGAATCAAGCATGATTTTTCTTTATATCCCAAGATGTCTTAGAAACTTGGTTCATTTTTTCACAATACGGCTAGTATTTATGGCGTTGTCAGTGTTTGTTATTCAAAGGCAGGGACAGTTTGAGTCTAGTGATGTCATGTTCCATTTTTGAAAATGTAGGCCAGGTTTATTCAGTTGGAGGGCTTGCATCTGGTCCGCAGAAACCTGGCAAGTGGCCCGCAGGTCTTTGACAGCTTTTATGTTGATGATCTTTCTATGCTACTAGTTGAAACCTCTGACCTGTGACAATGTCCATTTTCAAACTTTTTGCCCCTGGGTAAACTTCGTTGAATGGCCCTGATGTAGGCTGTAGGATAAAGTTCAAAGAAGTATGAAACGTAGTAAAAATATAGTTAACAGTATTATCAGCAAAAGATCAAAAGAGGATTGGAGTATTAGCAGAAGTGCAACAGAATAAATCTTAATTTAAAAAAAAAAAAAAGGAACGAGTTAAAAATGGATAGCTGCAATCTTACTCTGCATTCATCATTAAATGTCTTTTAGCCTGACACATTCAGTTTCAACAAACTCCTAATCAGTCAAGTTTTACATGGTTGTTGGAGAGCAGTGAGTGTGTTCTTTTCCCCCTCCAGACTAGAACCCAGAACCCACTCAGGAATCATGCAGTGGAAATTATCAGTGCATCTAGGTGTAAAAAAATTTTTTAAATTGCACACAAAATAATTCTGTCATAAAATATAGTTCAATTTGGTAGCTGTGGTTGTTAGTTCATTGCATTCTTCCTTTTCTGTATTTGCCCTTAAAAGGGCAGTTGGCGTATTGTGTTGCGGTATACAGCTAGGCTGTGATGACTGCCTTTCTGCAAATTTGTAATTAATGACCTGTTATGACATGCTTTTTTTAGGGGGCAATTGGTCTATCCCACCCCCTTCCACCTACCATTTCCCAGAACCCAAACTGG